TTTAATAACCAAATTAAATATTAAAATATTTTAAAAATAGGTAAAGAAAAAAAAAACTTTAATGAAAATTATGATTGATTAAAATTATTCCACTCAACTTTAAGAGTGCAAGGATATACTTAGACCTAGAAAAAAAAATATTAAAAAAAAAAAGAATGTAAAAAAATTATGATTTTTGATAAATGAAATTTCAATAATTAAGTTATTTTAATTTAACAATTAAAACTCTCAATTTTATTCCACAAATTATTTATCCTCTTAACCTACTTTAAGTGAATTCTTTTACGTATCTTCAATAAAACCTTCTCATTTTCTTCATTCATAGCTCACTCATAACTTTATAATCAATAAATATCCACGTTGAGAGCATCTCCAATCATAAATACTTGAAAAAAATATTTAAAGTTGATTCAAACCACTCTTATATAAGATATGCAAAAACGACCGTAACAGGACTCAATGGCCATAAGATGTGGTGGCAACCGTGGGTGCAATGGTATTGTGAATGTGACGAGACAGTGGCATTAGGGATGGGGCCACACCGCAGATGAGGCAGTAGTGCGAGAGAAAAGGGAAAGAAGGGGAGTAAAAGAAGGAAGAAAAGGAAGGGAAATGGGAAATATAATTACTAAACTACCAATATGTGATAAGTTAATTAAAGTTGTAAAATGTTTGGTTCACTAAAAATAATTTAGGTTAAACTAATTCATTTTTGACGTATTGTGAGTCCGGTTAACTCACTTTGACACCCCTATTTAAAGTTACTTAAGATTTTGTTATTAAAATAAAATTGTCTATAAAATTCTTAATAAAGATTTGGTAATATAAAACCCTTATTTAACACTTTTTAAGATAGAAGCAACTCATAAATTATTTCTAGTGGAAATGTAATTATATTATAAGCTCCTTATAATTTTTTTTTAATGGTAGATATATAATAAATTTTTAAAAATAGTCTTTTTAGTCTTATAAATTTAATTATTTATTTTTTAAATAGTAGATATATAATAAAATTTAAAAAATAATTTTCTTTAAACTATTCACTGAAAATTTCATTTTCTGTTTTGTTGATCTAGGATTGAGCATGATTTTTCCACTTGTGAAAACTCACACGTTAATATAGTTGATTTAACGGATTGTCGAGTGAATAAAATTGGTTTTCACAGGATAAAAATTATTGGATTTGAATTTAATTTTTAAAACCCATCAATATTCAACCCGATTGACGAGGAGCTAACTTTGTTTTATCTTGCATGGTGAAATACAAAATTTGGAGATAGTCGAAAATAATTGAAGTAATTGAAGAAGTGAAAAAAATGTTTGAGAGCTTGTTCATGAATAGTGAGTTGTTTATGTTTGGGTGAAAAAGATAGAAAATTGAAACTTTAGTTTATATGCTAAAATAGTTTAAAGAACATGGGATGATTTTATGGTATTTTCTAAGATTTTAATATAATGTAATTGTTCATGCCAAGAAAATAAAAAAAAATCTATAAATAAATAATTTGATATTTCATCTTATCACGAATAAATATTGGTCTGAATACAGGATAAATTGAAACTGTTATAAGAATGAGAAGGAGGTTCACCTATAAAGACCCTATGATGTTTAATATGTTGTATTATTAATAAGTTTTTATTATTATGTCTTCTTCTTTTGAGTCTCATGGTTTGATTGAATCTCTAGTGGGTCATAGTTCTTCTTCATAAACTAGGAAGAGTAGTTTTTTCTTTTCAATCTCTCCCCTTGAGTATAGTTGGGTACTTGAGGAGGTTGTCCATTTTTCTTTTGTTTTCACTTCCTCTTCTTTAGTGAAAAATATTTGTAAAGCTTATGGTGTTTGTTCTAATTCTAATGTAAAATATATTAACGTTAGTCCTTATACTTCTTATAATCGAATTTTTATGAAACATTTTTTTAATGATGAAAATTTTACTTTTGCATAGAAATGTCTTTTCAAATATTTAGATATCCAGGTTACTTTCAGATGTTTTGAATGTGAAGTACTCTCTCTTTTATATGTTGCTCCTAGCAAACTTCATCTTAACAGTTGGGTTTTCTTCAAAGTTTTCCAAATTCTGTGATATTTTGGGTCTGCCACCTATTTTAAATAAGTTTTTATATTTTTACCAACTAAAACATGACCAAAAATCGGCTAAGTATCTTTGCACAAATCTCAACATAATTGTTTATTCACCCTTTTTTAAAACTCACTTTTTAAAATTTGGTTATGCTCAAGATGATCCCCCACGTCTCTTTTTTTCATTTGAATATATTCATCATTCTCCTTTATATTATCATATGAAAACAAGAATTATATAAAAATCTTATATAGTCTTCATCGTCCTATGTACAAATATTTTATCTTTTTCATTTATCGAGGACCTCAAAGCTCGATTTCTTATTAAGTTTTATTTTATTTTTTCGAAATAAACTTTTATTGTAATTATTTCTATCTATGATTTTTTTTTAGAAATCATGAGTCCTACATTTGTTTTTAAGAAGACTCAAACCAAAATCAAAAGTTAAGCTCTTTAGCGAGCTTGCAAGAGAAGTAGGGTGATTTCTTCCTCTATTATTTTACTATCTATTTATTATATATAAATAAATATTTATAATTTTATAATTTATAATTATTATTAATTAAATATACATTTTAATTTATTATATATATATATATATATTAAAATATATACGTAAAATAAATATTTAATCATTTTTTATTTATAACATCATTATTATTATTATAACATCTGTATTCAAATATTTGAATACTTATAACATTATTATTATAATACTGTATTCAAACATTTAATTATATATATAAGTTAATTCATTGTTAAGTTGTCATTTAAAAATATGAAATATATAGTTTATAAGGAAATATTTAATAAGTTAATTATTATTCAATTAGTTTGAAAGTAATAAAAGTTTAAATTATCAATTCCTTTAATCCTTTAAAATACAATTATTTTATTAAGATAAAATTTGATATATGATAAATAAGAATAATAAGATAAAAAAATGACATAATAAAACCTAATAAATATAAATTATAAATAAAATAATATTAGTTACTACTAAGATTTATGTAAAATATTTAGAAAAGGATAAAGAATAAAAAAATAAACTTTGTGTTCATCAAATTGGTTGAAAAGATTGAAAAAAAAGAAACAAATTGATACTGAGAGATTAAGGAAATGTGAAAAACTGAAGGATAAAAGAGAGAATAGTATAATAAATTAATTGATATAAAAGATTAAAAAAGACAAAAAAATTAAAAAATAAGTAGAAGAAAAATAAAAAATTGGTGAAATATAAAAAATGACCTTATATGTAATAGAAAAAGAAAAGAAAACATTTTTAAAATATTAATATTTTAAAATTTAAATTTAAATATAAAGTCAGGGCAGGGACGGGATCACGGTCGGGGTCGAGGTGGGGATTGCATTACCCATCCCGCCCCCAACTTTTTAGAGCAGAAAAAACCCGAACTTGCCCCCGGTCAACTCGAGTTTTTCTCATTAAACTCGAGGCGAAGACTGGTCGATCCCCACGAGTACAAGTTTAATTGTCATCCCTATATAATCCACCTAATTTAAACTTATTAAATCTGATAAATAAGATCGCGGATATAAATATTATAACAACAAATTCAGTACTGAATTAGTCATATTTAATTTTTTCTACAAAATATGATGAATAAAAAAAATTAAATACAAATACAAATATAAACATAAAAATATTTTTAAAATAACATTAAATAAGATTAATATAATTATTATTTATTTATGAATATTAATATATATACTAAAATTCAATTATATTAATCAGTATGGCTTATGCATGGACTAATTAAATTATGATAAAATAAAATAAAAATTAAATTTTTTAGTTTAATCGATTTTGATAAAAAAAGTCAATTTTTTATAAAAATAAAATAAAATATTTTTTTATCTAGTATTAATTACTTAAACCTTAAATAATAATTATGTAATTATATTTTTCATATTATTTTAACTATTATTTATTTTACCTTCTTTAATATATTTAATATTTATAACATTAATCATAATAATAAAAATATTTATTGTTTTTTTAATATTATTATTGAGAATTTTGTTATATATTTATTATATTATAACAATATAATTTTATTAAATTGGATTGTATCATATTAAACCAATTTCTCTTACTTAAACCTTTAAACTTTAAATCTAATGTTTAAAAGTTTATATTAATTAATCTTGTTATTTTTAATTCAGCACATATCCCAATTATCATAATTTAAGGATAATTTAATTTCTATTTTTATGAGAGTAAGAACATTAAATTAATTTATTATATTAAAATTATTGATCCTTGTAAAATTAGGTATAAATAAAAAAATTATAAATTAGTTATTAAAAAATAATTTTGTTATAATTAATTTAATATATCATTAAAATAATAATATTTATTTTTAAAATATTTTTTATATTAAATATGTATAATATAACTATTGTTTAATTTTAACTTGTACAACATTTAACTGTTTTTGTCCCAATATCATATAAAAAACAAAATTTTACGGCCTAAAACTTACCTGCCTAAAAGTAATAATAAGGAAATTTTAACATTTACTAAAAAATTACTTAGTCTTATAAAGTTGAATAACCAAATTAATACTTTTTTTTACGTAGACTAAAAGAACACACTCATAAATTTATGATTACTAAAAGTGAATTTAAATATAAATATAGATATTCCTTGAGTTACAGTATCTTTAAAATTAAAAATTAAAATAAAGTAATGACTGACGCACCTCTGGCGGTAACATGAGTTCGAACATGGTTGGATTGTGGGCTTGGGAGTGGCTTCTGAAACTCACTAACATGGCAGCGGGTTCGCCCTAGATGCGCCGTGTTGACCGAAAAATGTGTCTTCTCCTCCCTCACCCTCTAATTTCACTCTCCACCTTTCTCTGTTATCATCCCTCCAAAACGACGCCGTGCCCACCATGTTCTCCTTTCGAAAACTCTACTCTCATTGCTTCTTCTCCTTCGTTCTTAAACCCTGGCCAAACCCTAAATTCCAGAGCACGAAATCCGCCTCCAAGTTCGTCGCAAAAACCACCGTAAAAGAAGCCCAAGCCGCCTTGCTCGAGTACCTCCACTCCACGCGCAGCCTCAACTTCTTAGACGCCGACAACATGTGCACAAACTCGCCCTCCTTCCTCCACGACCTCCTCGCCAAAACCCACTCTCACACGCGGCGCGTCGACACCAAGCGCTCCATCTCCCGCTACCTCCGCTACCACCCCATCAACGAGTTCGAGCCCTTCTTCGAAAGTGCGGGTCTTTCCCCTCCCGAGTACGCCCCCCTCCTCCCGCCTCACATGATTTACCTAAACGACGACGTTCTGCTCATGGAGAATCACCAGGCGCTCTGCAACTATGGCGTTCCCCGCACTAAGATGGGGAGGGTTTTCAAACTCGTGCCTCAGGTTTTTCGGTATGAACCCGGCGTTTTGATCTCTAGGCTTCGGGAATACGAAAACCTTGGTGTTTCACCAAAGACTTTGGTCAATGTGGTTGCTTCCAGTCCCTGCGTTTTGGTTCGGGGTGTTGACCTTGATTTTGTTAAGGTTGTGGAGAAGTTGAAGAGTGTTATGGGAAAGGATTGTGATTGGATTGGAGAGCGTTTGTTGATTAACAAGGGTTGTTGTAATTGGAGAGTAATGCGTCAGGTTTTGAGTTTGGTTTCTAGAGTTTACAATGAGAAACAGTTGGTTGATTTAGTCACCCGTCACCCTGATTTGATTTTTGAGGAGTCTGGACGATGTGTGTTGTCTTTGATTGATTTTTTGTTGAAATTTGGCTTGTCTGTAAACCAGGTTTCTGTCATGCTGCTCGAATTTCCGGAGATTCGGGTTGCAAAATTTTTGTCCAATTTGAGGCTGTGTTTTCTGTTCTTGACTGAGATTGAGATGGAGGCTTCGGAGATTGGGAGGATTTTGCAGTCTCATTGCTTGGTGCTGGGTTCCTTCACCATGAAGAGAACGATTACTTTGCTTACTAGCTTGAATGTGGGAAAGAAACGGCTGTGTAGAATTGTGAGGGATGATCCTCTAATAATGAAGAGTTGGGCTTTGGGAAGGAGGATTGAGCCTCTGGTGAGCTCGTATTTGGAGTATGAATCGAAGGCCCTGAAGAAGGAGTTCATGCTGAGGTTGGGGTATGAGGAGAACTCTAAAAAAATGAATCAGTCGATTAGGTTGTTCAGGGGTAAGGGAGCTGAGCTTCAGGAAAGACTTGAATTTATTGTTAATGCTGGTTTGGATTATGATGTTGTCTGTAGGATGATTCGAGATTCCCCGCGGATTCTTAATCAGACAACGGAGAGGATGAACTTGAAAATCAAGTATCTTGTGAATGAAGGATATTCGATATCAGATTTGGTGGCTTTTCCTTCCTTTCTTTCCTATTCGCCTCGAAGGTTTAAGCTGAGGTGTTCAATGTATAATTGGCTCAAAGAACATGGAGCTGTAGAAGCAGCGGGGCTTGCTTTGAGCACTATAATTGCATGCTCTGAGAAAGCGTTTGAGAAGCTGTATGTGAAGCGCCATCCGGCTGGCCTTCAAGTTTGGCAGGATTTGAAGGCACAAATTTCTTCTAAGGCTTAGATGTTTGAAGAAATACTCCACTTCAATTGGTATTTTTTTTATCAAAGCAAAACATGAGATAATAAATCCAGTGTTTGCGGAGATTGAATTGCTTCTGATATGGGTAATAATTGATTTATCTGGCAATCTGGTTGAGGTTCTGGTTCTGTTCAGTTAATTGTGCAACCCTTATTTCACCATCTTTTAAGGATGACTGAACTGCAAGTTGTACCCTGGAATGAGTCACTTAAAGTTGGTAGATATGGTGTGCACACAGCAGATAGCCAATTGAAGATCAGATATTTTAGCAGGCATCGCATTGACATGTAGCCAGTATGGACAAATAATGAGTGCTCATATTTATGGCATGTCTTGTAGATGGAAGAACGTCGACTAGATAGATAATTTGTTGTCAAGATCATCTTCTTTCCCGCTTACCAAACCCAGTTACATTGCAGATCACTAGGGTTTGATTTCTAGTCTGACTAGATCTGTTCCTCAAGTATGAACCACACGGGGAGTGGAGCTGGTGAGGATGAGAAACTGTATTATTTTACAATTGAAAATTAGATGCTCAGGTTTGTTGGGATGAAAATTTTTGTTAACATGATTATTTTTCCAACCACAGAAACCACTGAGAGGAACATGCATGCTCTTGCAGCTTGGCATTATGTAATAATTTGCCTCTGAAATCACCCGTTGTGCAAGTATTGATTGATTTACATGGCAGGTAAACGATATCTGAGTGTTGCAGAAAACCCACATTGCATCTGATAGAGAATGTTGTTCCTCTTCAACTATGCTGAATTTAGTATCCATATTAGAGCCAACTAAAATTATTTAGAACCTTCAAACACAGCATAACAACTTAGCAAGAACATCAACTTTCTTAATAATGTAATAATCTTAAGATATTTGACAGGGACAGATAGTTTATCATTTTGAAAATGTTTTCACTAAAATTCTTGTCTAAATATCAATTTGAAACTCCGAAATTGAGGAAACAGGTGATCTTGAACAATTAGTGGCTCCTTATTCCTCCACACTGGTAGGTTGGAATTTCTGCCTTTCTTGCTGAGGCAAAAGTCCAGTGTTTAAATACAAACTTTAAAGCAACCAAACTATTTTTGATTAACCACCGTTCAATCCTAACATTAGAATCCTATTTTAGGTGGCTCCCTTCAATTCTATACTTTCTTGAACAAATACACTGTCTAATTTGAATTGTCCTTCAATTAGATGATTAAAGATTGGACTAAACTTGAAACTCGTTAAACGGCATCATTGCAATTGGACAATGCCCTATGGGCGGGACCAAACTACCAAGTTGCATATATCATTTCGGATTTTGTTTTTAGTACGGGTTAAGTAGTATTTAATATATTTTATTTTATATTTCTTTTATTGATCATTTTATTTATTTATAAAATGTTTAGTAAATACTAAATATTGTATATTTTCAATTTTATAAATTTTTATTTCGTTAAAACTTTTTTACTTTTGCTACATTCTGTAGTGTCCTACAAACTTGACAAAAAGTTGTTCTTTTATTTTTCTTTGCATCAACTGTTAAAGTATTTTCTTTTATATAAAATTCATAAACTTGTTGTAAAGCAAAACTACAAATATCACCATCAATCAATAGTGAGAATAATAATGTTAAGTATATAATTCTAACTTAGTTAAAACTGTGATGTGTAAGTTATACGTATACTTTTTAATTACTTCATTAAGTAATTTGTAAGTTAAGCAGCAAAATCTGAGGTATATTGGGTCTCAGTAAAAATTGTATACTAATACTTCAGGTATGTTTTTTAACTGATGATATGATGAGTTTTGTTTTAACATAAATCAATATTTTTATACTATTTTTTAGATTTTAAAATTTTTGCCTATTTTTGAAAGAAACATGTTTTAATTAAAAATATTTCAAGATATATGTATATATTACCAATCATAATCTATATGCATTTTTTTTGGTAGGGAAACCCTAAAAGTGTATGTAATGATAATTAATGTTTAATATGATTTGAAAGGTATAATAAGAAAATGAAAGTGAAGTTTAACCACCAAAAGTAGAAATTCCAAAAATATAATTCTTTTTAGTGGATGTCCATATTATAATTTATCATATGTATAAAATATATTAGTCATAGGTAATATCAAGTTCGCATACATAAATGTGAGGCATGATTAATATTTGATACACGACAAATTAATAATATACAAAAATATTTATAATAATCACGTTAAAAATTAGTAAGCTTATTAACTTGTTAAAATGTTGCCAGTAGTTGTTATGTTTTGTAATCAACTTCTAAATTAGTAAAGAGAAATGATTTTTAATAAAAATAATAGTAACGATATTAACATAATTGTTTTAAAAAAATCAACTTGGTTTTTGCTACATATATTTTTTAATGAATCATACTATAAATAAAGTTATTAGATTGAAATAAAATTATTTAGTTTCAATAATTCACATTAAGAGTATATTTTAATGTGATCACTTTTAAGAGTATAGAGATCTAAACAAACATTTTATGTTTAATGATAATATAGGGTATAACATATGTTTTTACACGCTTTTATATAATAATATTTTTGCTTAAATATAGTGAGAGACTTAGAAATTTTTATTTATTTATTTATTCTTCCTATATATAAAAAGATAAAATGTATTTCTTTATCTCTTTTCAAAAATGTTAGAAAACGTTTTGGTATAATACTTCTAAGAATTATATGCTCTAAAATATTATGTCTAGAAAAGTTATTTTCATAGACATGTTTGACTAGTATTTAGTAATTTTAGAAAAAAAAAAATAATGACAACATGTAGTTATTTAAAAAAAAAAAATGATTTTTCTGAAAATAAGATATTATCCAAAAATATGCTTTCATAATTTGTTGACAAAACATTATTCTCACTATAATTTTTGGAGAATTAAAATTACTTGTCGTCAAAGAAAAAAAAAAGGTTTTTTCTGTGTTTAAATTAATTTCAAACTAACTTTTTCACTTCATAAACTTCTAAAGTTTGCGGATAATTTATTTTTAATTCATTAAATTACTTTGAAATAACAAAATCCTATAATCTACATTAAATTTATTAATAGATATATTAATAATATGATTCTTGTGCTGATATAATATTTACAAATGTTGATAATAATAATAATAATAATAATATTAATAATAATAAATATTGTATTATTCTTTACTTATGCATCGTCTTTTTTTTTAACTTAATATTTAGTCTTAAATTAGTTTATGAAACAAAAATAATAATAATCTTAAAAGTACTTAAAATATATATTTGAAAAATAAAAATAAAAAATTTAAACATTGACTATTTTCGATGACTTCTTTGAACTTGTTTACATTCATGATAAGAAAGTTAAATTGCAATGAAAAGAAGAAGAAGAAGATTTAACCTTTTCATGGCAGTATTTGGTTAGTCTTATAATAACTTAATAAAGAATTATAGTTTAAAAGACAAAAATAAAATTATTATATCTGACAAATATTTATTACTATTAGATACCACTAGTAATTAATTAAAAATAATAAAAAAGAAAGAAAAAATGCACTCTATCTAGCTATCTTCCATTTTCTATTTTTTCATCCCAATTCCACTCTTTTTCTGTTCTTTGTCTCTGCCTTCTTTCACTTCTTTCTTTGCTCACTTCTGCACTCTCTCTCTCTCTCTCTCTCTCTCTAACCTAGTACTACATTTTTCACTCATCAAGTCTCTGTCTTTAAGCTCGTATTCCTCTTCATCACCTCACTTCTCTGATCTGTTTCTTCACTCTCTTTGACCCAGATCAAAAATTTGACTCTTTTTCCCTCTCTGTTTATGCTTTTCTTCCAGCCATTCACAGAAAAACCACTGCTTCCATCTGGGTCTACCCTCTTTTTGGATTTTTGTTATCTGATTTTGAGAAATGGGTTGTCTTTGTTATGCAGAAAATTGATTCAAGATAGGAGGTCAGCTTCATTTCTCTTCTTCTGTGTCTCTCACTTCATCAATCTAATTCTCTGTGCAAATCTATAATGTTATTGCTTACTTTTTCTTTTCTTTTTTTCTCTCTCTTTTTTTTTTTTTTTTCTATTTCTGATGTTTATCTTCTTCTGTTTTGATCCTTGTGATAAACTGGGAGGTGGTTTGAAATCCTCTTTCTTGTTTGATTTCTTATTGTTTTGAAGCAGAGGAGTTTATGAAGTCTGTTTGCATGAGCTTGAACTAGATCGAAGTTGAACAAATTTGTAATATTTTTATACTGTTTACATTGAAATTGAGTTTTGCTATGTGTTGGTTTTCTTTAGCTGTTGCCAGAAAGTGAAGCTGGCTTCATTTGTTCGGTTTAGGATTAGGTGATCCGCGATGTGGTTCAATTTGTTGGTAAGGAAAATTATTTCAAATGCGATGTAATATTTTCACTGTTTGTTGGCGTTGAAAGTTTTCCTTGGTTAAAGTGAAGATCACTTGATCCTTTGATTGCTTGTTCTGAATTGGTTATTCAGAATTTCGGAAATAGTGGGATCAAACATGCAAGTCCCGTGTGTATGCATTTTTTTGCGCATTCTTGACAAAAGAAATCATCCTCTGGAATGAGTTTTCTGAATGGTTTTTAATTTTTCAATCTTTGTCCATTTGAAGAGTGAACACATGTAAGCAATATCCTGAAGTCATTGATCTTGGCTCATATCAGAATTTCAACTGATGCATTCTTTATTTGATCCTTAAATAGTAAAAAAACTGAAGAGAAGTTATAATTGCAAACTTGACTTTTGTTACTTTTGATTTAGTAAATAATTGATGCAAGTCATACTTAAAACACAAAAATATATCTGATCAAGAATTGGTTTCAAGTAGCATCACTCAAAATTGATGTGCGGTTTTAACTATCATCTTTTAAACCTCATGTTTTATTTCAGTTATATGATTTTTGTTTGGACTTTGAAGTATAGTTGTTTTATCTATGCAGTATTTTTGTAGAAATATTTTAGTACATTTTGTCAACAAGGGCATTTGGCAATGGGTAGGGGCAGAGGAAAAGGGAAGAAGCAATCTGTTATATCTGAGGATCCTGGAAGTGGTGAAGAGGATAAAGTCCCAGCATACAGAAGAAGAGGAAGACCACTAAAGCCACTGATTGATGAAATTGAAGAAGTGGAAGTAACTGACATTACAGAGAAAGATGAGGAAAATGTGAAAGGTAATGGCTCTACCAATGATTTGAAAACTCAGGCTATCACAGTAAATAAAAGAAAAAGAAAGAGATCCACACAGATTAAAGAAAAGATAGATCCCATGAAAGAGGATAATGGCATCCTAGCAAAGTCAGGCCCTGATGATTCAATAAAGTCTACTGGATTCCGACAGAATGGTAGCCGACGTAAGAACAAGCCTCGCCGTGCTGCTGAAGCTGGAGTAGATTGCAAGTGAGCAAGGTTGGCTTGATAGTTTTGTTTTAAGGCCCTTGAAATTGATGGAGTTTTGGTATGACCAGAGACAGGGTTTGTTTGATTGTGTAAGGCTTGTTATGGTTGCTTGTTATTGCTCATTTTGCTCTTTGTAACTTCCATATGCTATTTCTGATTTGAATTTGGAGGATCCATGGCAGACTGCTCTTTTAGTCTTCTATAAAACTATTGCAAAATGATGCTCTGAAATTTTGTAGATATTATTGTTTATCATTATTAGGTACAAGGGGATAACAAAGTTTCTGCTGATAGATACATTTGTTTACTCCACAAGCATGTGTGTGATGTCAAGAAATCTAATCTTGTTGAATGGTCCAATGCCAATTAAAATTCCAAGTCTTCTACAACTTTTGTCAACAATGAGCCTCAATGTCCTCCAATCTTGCATTGAACTTTTGGACATAAGGCCTCACACGTCCATCTAGTCAACTTAACAACTGGTGTGTCATCACATATTGGCCTATTTGAGTGTTATTTTAGTTTCAAAGGAGAAAGAAGCATAGGTATCTCTAGCAACATGCTTTTATAGTAGAGACAGAGAGGAAATAGGAAGACCAAAACATAAGAAGGGGAGAAGAGAAAAAGAAAAGCCATGGATAAAATGTTCCTATTGGAGGAGAATGGGTACATGTGATGATTGTGATCGATCAGGAGTAAAGCTGAAAAAAGCTTGATGATGTTGATATATATATATATATATATATATATATATATAGAGAGAGAGAGAGAGAGAGAGAGAGACCCTTCTTTTGTAGAGACTGTGTCCCCGAAGAAGGCCTAAGCTAGTGTTTGATCTAGTTGACTTGCTTGGAAGCTAGCCCTGCAATGTCTTTCATGAGCTTTGTTGTTGTCTTCTTTTTACTCTCTTTTTGCACAAAACTTAGAGCTCACACATATGGTCATATAGATTATATCAGAAAAGGGCCCAGAACCTGAGGCTTTAGACATACTCTAGCTTATGCCTATTCACCAAAATAATTTGTGCAAATATTTTTAAATTTTCTTTACAACTTATCTTAGTAAATTTTATAGACATAGTCATTTAGAAGCTCTTTTCCTTTTCATAAGCTAATTTGTTAAGTAATAAACAACATAATATTATTGGTATTAATGTTATTTAGTTTTTTTATTACACTGTATCTTGAAATTATATATTTATTAATTTGTCTGAAGACTTCAATCCTATATAATAATTTGCTTTGTTGGTATTAATAGTTTGAGTCAAATTAGGGTTTCATAATCTTAGAATGGCTTATCATAAATAAATAAGTCTCAAGTTTAAGTCAAATATTGACAAATGAACGAGACTAAGTTTGGTATGACCCACTTCTATCTTTTTGATTAATGGATCGTTGGAGGTGGAAACAACTTCATTATTGTATATAAATTTGATATAGTCTTTAGGAAATATTTGATATACATATTTTTTCTTCAAATTATGTTTTATGGGAATTTTGTTTTCTATAAATGTCATTAACATGTTTGAGAATCAAAGATATTTTTGGAAATAAGAGACAAAATTATATATAAAGAAAATCTACAAAAATTTCTTAAATCTAACTAAAATTGAAGTTAATATTTAAAAAAAATAAAGATCTAGATTGTTTGTTAAATATTAAAGTTAATATCAAATAATCATTTTAATGTTACTTATTTAATAATTTTAAATTGAATACGACGGTAAATTGTGACAAAAATTGAAAAAAAAAATTATAGTCAAGAAGGTAAGTGACTAACCTCTTATTTGATATACAAAATCATTAATTTAAATAGAAAAATAAATAAAAATATATTTTATCAATTTTTATTTCCTAATTTTAAAAATTAAAAAACAAAAATAATTATCAAATGTTTTTAAAATTTTTGAAAATTAAAAACTCAAACCGTTTTTTATTTTTAAAGAAATTTATATGAATGAAAATATAAACGCTCAAACGTTTTATAAATTTTTTTTATGTATATAATTATAGATCATATCTCTTAATCGAAAAGGAAAGGTAATAAAAAGGAATGACCAAGTTTGTTAGAATTTTTTACTTGAGAAGCGAATTCTCAAAACATAAAAACATTGAACAAGTCTTATTTAGCTCACAACATAATATAAACATTATGAGTTAACAAAATGGTAAAAAGTATAATTTGCTGTGTAGTTTCATATTTGAATGGACCAAACTCGATTCAACAACAAAGTCTCGGCTAAATTTGCTGCAGGTAATTGTAAGTGTTGTTAGGGTGGGATTTTTTTCAAATCTAGCATCCAATTTAATATAAAATAATTGTAGTAAGTATTATATTATCATATATAAATATTATATAAGTATATTTAAATAATTATATAAATATATTTATAAAAGTATATATAAATATATTAAACATATAATTATATAATATATTTTTATTATATATAAAAGTATATATTTATATTTATTATATATTATATTTAATAAAGTTATAATGTATATAACAAAATACAAATTTGTGTTTATCATATTTATAAAAATATAATAAAATATTTATATATAATTTTATATTAAAATTATTTTATATTATATTAATAAAAATGTATTTATCATATTTTTATAAAAAATATTATTTTTACTTACTACAATTATTTTATATTAAAAATATATTTAAATAATATATATAATTTATTTATATAAAAAATGTTATCTAAAAAAATATAAATATATATATTTATTAAATTTATTTTATTTATAAAAATATAAATAATTATTTAAATATTATTATATATATAGATTAAATATATTTGTATTTACTATATTTATAAAAATATTTTAATAATATAATTATATAAATATATTTTTATTTTATATGCAAATTATATTTATTTTTATTTCATATATATATATATATATATGAAATAAAATTCTATAATATATATTTATATTTAATAAATATTGTTATATTTTAAAATTTTTATTAATTTTTAACATTTTCCATTAAAAAGTGTGCTATTTAGGTGAAAATGTGTTATTCAGGTAAATAATATACAGGATGCTATCCACGTATATTTATGCTAGATTTGAAAAAAAAAATCGTTAGAGTGGACTCATATGACTTCAAATATAATTCTTCACTTATTTGTATTTTGTAAGATAAATGCTTGTGTAAGAAATAAATGACATTGATGAAACTAAAGTTTCATTGCAATTACAATATTTGAAATCTATTTTGTCATTTTATAGTACCATGAGTTGTTCAGGTACGACCATAAGTTCATATTTAAAATATATTACAATATTTATTTTAATAAGATACTTTTCATATCTCTTATAATAAAAAGTTTTAAAAGACGCAAAATTAAAATATTGAATACAAATTATCTTGTTATTTGATAATAATATACTCAAAATGGTAAAACGGGTTAGTTCACTTTATTTTGGCTCATTTCGCTTTTAGCCTGCAAAGCGGGCGAACTAACATGTTATAGTCATAATGAGTTGTAAATCTTGACCCTCTCGCAAGGGACAAATTGATCGGTGACTCGCCATAATTTAGAAAAAAATAATTTATTTTTTAAAATAAAAAATTTCAATAAATTTAATAATAAGATTATTATTTGTTTGTCAATAATTTAATATATATATATATATATATATATATTATTTTAATTTAATAATATAAATCAATACATTTTTTTAAGAAATTATAATTTAGAACAATAATAAAATTTACATAATAATAAATAATAACAAATATATATATATATATATATATATATATATATAACGTTAAAACTTATAAAATTTATATTTTTTATATTGAAAAATTCAAATATCTATATCTTTTTTATTTGATAAAATTTCACATTATTCTTGGTTGAGTAATTCTTACACTTTTAATTCAAGTCATAAGGATAAAAATGATCAATACTTAGGATGAATAAGGAAAACAAGAGAGAGAAACTTGTGTTTCAATAAGGAAAATATTCTTGTGGGAGTGAAACTTTTTTAATTCTCTTTTTAAAAATTTTAACTTTATATATTATCTTTATAATTAACTTTATTATAATAAAAAATTATTTTTTTATTAATTAGGCGAGTCGCGAGCCCGTCCGTCCGATCTCACGGTTTGGCGGGCTTAGCGAGGACGGGCCAAAGTGGGTTGGTGGGTTGAAAACACTAATTCGTCCCACCATATTATGGTGGGCCGCCGCATGAGCCCGACTCGTTTTATTATCCCTATAAAAAATAGTTAATTTTAACTTTTCATTAGAGAATAAGTTTTTATTATCAAATATTGGGAATAAATGTTTTATTATATTTTATTAAGAGATATATTTCATTTATTAGAAATATATATGTACAAAATTCTAAAACTTTTTATTGGTGATATCAAAGCCTTGGTTCTTACAAGAAGAAAAATAAAAGGAGTTTCACAAGTTGCTATTATAATTTTCGATAACGAAAGTTAGAATGCAATCTTATCTTAAAGGATTAAGTTTATGGAAGTTGTGGAAGAAAATTATATCATTGATCTGCTACCGAAAATCTCACCTTAGCTCAAATCAAAATCTACAAGAAAAAAAAATAAAAAGGTAAAAATAAATCATGTTTATATGCAGGTATTTTACAGATGATTTTCATCAGAATCATGACCCTAAATCACCCAAAAAAATTTGAGATTATTTGGAAGAAGAATATGAAGTACCCGTAAAGAAAAAGAAAAGTTTTAAAGGAGAAAACTCTAACCACCAACCAAGCTAACATCATTGTTGGGAAACAAAACTCTGAGAAACAACAATTGTTCGAGAAAGAATGGCTAGAGATGCAAGAAATGTTATAACAGATGCGCCTTGAGAATGAAATGACTGAAGAGATTAAATGTTAAAGACTAAGCTCAAACAAAAGGATGAAGACTTTTAAAGACGTGATCATGAACTTAAGAAGCATAAGATTGAGATGAAAAAACTACAACCTACCATAAATTTTCCTAAGAAGA